TTGTTCCCAGACTCCATCTCTCTCATCGTGCTGGTCCAACGCAAGTAGAGTTCACATAGCAAAGAGCAGCAAAAGTCACTAGTCCAAGGCTCTCCACACCGACCTGGTGGTGCCTCTACCAGAATCGGTTCATTGGGTCAGGTTTTGAACATTTTACGAGACCACGAATGAGAGGGGTGGCTACTAGTTAGGGTATCTGGTTTCCAGTGGCTGTATTTTACTAACTCATTAGACTCTTCAGCTTTTTCTCACAAAATGCATACCAAAGGTAGTCTCTAACACTTTCCAAAAGTCCTCTGTTCTTAGACTTTGCAATTTCACTTTTGGGATTTTTTTTTTTTTTTTTTTTTGAGTTGGAGTCTCACTCTGTCGCCCAGACTGGAGTGCAGTGGCCGCTCCCGGTCACCGCAGCCTCGACCTGCTGGGCTCCGGCGATCCTTCCGCCTCAGCCTTCCGAGTAGCCGGAACTACAGGCGCGCGCTACCACGCCCGGCTGATTTTTGATTTATTGTAGAGATAGGGTCTCGCCAAGTTGCCCAAGCGGGTCTCGAACCCGCAGACTCAGGCAATCCACTCACCTCAACCTCCCAAAGGCGCGGGATTACAGGCTGAGCCACCGAGGCCGGCATACTTCTGAGAATTTATACAATTAATATATCTGTACAAATAAAATTGACCCATATCTGGGTTATTCGTTTTAACATTTAAATGAAAAACAAAGATTAGAAGAAGCTGCAGGTCTATCCATAAAGTTAAATAATAAATAATCAATGATACTTAACACAATGGATTTGGAGGCACAGGTGAAAAACAAAAGCTCTCTGGACTGATTTGCAGCCAATATGTTGGGGAACCTCACTGGAGTGCACTAACCCCAACAACCCGGGCAGTCACCTACTGCTTTCTGCCAGAATTGATGGAGATGGCTGGGCACATGCTATACAACTGCACAAGACATTGCCAGGTTTCTGATGACCTCTTCCCTCAGCTCGCCTTCTCATCTCACCGGCATTGCCCAGGAACCAAACTTACTTGGAGCAGGCTGACAAGGAATCCAAAAATATGCTTTCAGGGGCCATGGTAACAGGATTGGAAAAGGAGTTGAGAGGAAACAAATGGCCATCACAAAATCTAAGCAAAGTGAATTGTTACTTGAACACGGGTGAAGATTTTTCTATTTCCTTTCTTTAGGTTAGTAAAGTTCCGACTCCATTGTCTTACTCTTTCCATCTTTTCTTCTTCTTCTTTCTTTCTTTCTTTTCTTTTTTTCTTTCTTTTTTTTTTTTTTGAGACGGAGATCTCACTATCTTGACCAGGCTGGTCTCAAAGCGACACACCCATTCCCTCCCCATCTCCTCCCTCCCTCACTCCCCCCCCAACTCCTTCTCAACCTCTTTAAAGTGCTGGAATCACAGGCACAAGCCACCAAGACCAGCCCTTAGTGTTTATTCTAGGGTAATTAGTCCAACACGCTTCATGTCATCTGCCCTATATCAAGATCCATTTCCCTATATCAAGATCTGTCAAAAAGTTACAGTAATGAGACACTGTGGTTTGGGGCAAAGGTAGGCAAATAGACCAAGGAAGGAGCAAAAATCACACATGTATGGACACCAAATTTATGGCAAAAATAAACCTACAGTGCAGTGAATGAAGGTTAAATATAAAATGCCTTTTCTACATGTATTAAAATTACCTGATTTTCCCCTTGTTTTATTGATATTATTAAATACATTGATTGATTTTCATCTTAAGCCAATTTTGCATCCCTGAAATAAACCCAGCTTGCTCATATTTATATTTTGCTATATTCAGTTTACTAATATTTTGTCTTTCAACTTTGCATTTATTATATTGAGGTGACTATTAACCTGTAATTTTTATTTTATTTAATATTCTGCCTGGTATTGATATCAAGATGGCACTCATGTTACAAATGTACTGAGAGCTGGGCATAGTGGTGTGAGCCTGTAGTCCCAGTTACTTGGGAGGCTGAGGCAGGAAAATTGCTTGAACCAAAAGTTCCAGGCTGTAGTGTGTTAAAATCATGCCTGTGAATAACCACCGCACTTCAGCATGGCTAACAGAGCAAGACCTCATCTCTAAAAAAAAAAAGAAAACAGCGTTGAAGACCTTTTTTCTGTTCTCTGTAAGAGTTTCAATATGATTGACATTATTTCTTCTGTAACTTTTAAGAGAAAACAGTAATAAAGTCACATGGGCCTGCAACTTTCTTTGTGAGAAGTTTGTTATATTTTAAACTTCCAATATTGTTAAGTTTGTTTCTTGAAATTTGGATTAAAATAAGATCCATATCCATATATTTAATTTTTTTTTTGAGATGCCTGTTAAGGCTCTTTCTTTTTTTTTTTTTTTTTTTTTTTTAGTTACTATCTTGCTGAAATGTTACATTTCTTAATCACAGGCGGATGTAATGTGTTGATCAATTATGCTGTATACAAAGATTTTATGTATTTTTGTATGGTGTGGTACATTTTATAAAAACAAAGGATGGGAAAGAAGAGATAAGACTTCCATGCAGAAAAATTCCAAATAATTTATGCCTACACTCCACTCTCAAGGAGGTAGAACATAACTCCCTACTTCAAATGTGGACCACACATAGTAACTTCCTTTCAAAAGCTACAGTATGGAAAGTGAAGGGAGGATAACTTTATAGTGGTGAAACTTGACAAACTACCCAAGCCTGGTGATCAAAGTTAACATCAACAATGGTAAGTTATATTGATAATTATGTACCTTTGATAGGATGTGATAAAAATGGTACCTTAGCTGTGTGTTCTTAAATCTCCCTGAAATGTGGCTCTTTATGTTACAGTAGAGTTATAAGGGGGCAAAAATAGGCCTCAGAGACATGCTCATTTATCCAGGATGATTATTATGAATTTTAGTAGATAAAATCTAGTATCAGATCTCCTGCCCTTCTTGAATCAGGAGCTTTCTTCTGCTTTGGTCAATTTTATCTGCCACTCCCATGCTTACACAAAACTGAGATGCTGAATAATTACTCAGCCAGAAGAAAAGAAAGAAATGAGCCGAGTCAGGTGCTTTTTTTAGTCTCTAATTTTTTACAACACAAACATCTTGTGTACTTTTGAGACTTGAACTAAACTGTGAACATCAAGATAGTTTTCCTAATGTTCTCCTATTTTCAGTCTCCCCTTTCAGTAAAGATGCTAAACTTTCTTTTTTTTTTTTTTTGAGTTGGAGTCTCACTCCGTTGCCCAGGCTGGAGTGCAGTGGCACACTCACAGCCACCGCAGCCTCGAGTTGGGCTCAGACGATCCATCCGCCTCAGCCTTCCAAGTAGCTGGAACTACAGATGCACACTACCATGCCCAGCTAGTTTTTGTGATTATTGTAGAGACAAGGTCTCACAAAGTTGCCCAGCATGATCTCGAACCCCTGGGTTCAGGCAATTCTCTCGCTTCGGCCTCCCAAAGTGCGGCGATTACAGGCTGAGCCCCGCACCCGGCTGATGCTGAACTTTTAAAGGAGCCCAAAGCAGACAGGGACACCAAACAGTTGGTCCCACAGCCTTCCCAGAAGGATCAAGAAGTAAATTGAGAAAGATTGGCTGAAAATGTCACTTTTAAAAGTTTTAAGATTAAATTCACAAGGCATTCAGACATGCCCTACTAAAGCCCCTTTACTCTAACAGGAGTCCCACATCCTTTTACTTGGAAAGGAATCAGCCTTCTCTATTGCCATCAAATGCAGTCCCAGTTTCTCAATTGTGAGTGAAACTAAATTGAATCAGAGTATACATTACAACCATAGGATCACGACTGAGAATCACCCAGTTTGCTGCTCTTTGTCTTAGATAAAATAAATCCACTCACTTCACTTTCTTATCTTTGATGTATTTCTCATGAGATTTCATGCAGTAAGCATTCATCATGTGCACAATGGGAAAAACACCTGGGAAAATGCTAGGAACAAGATAAAATATTAGATGGCAAATTATATCTCTGAGCTCAACTTTGATGAGGGGATAACTCAAGATAGTATGGTTGTGTATTAAATGAGTTAACGTATAAAAATGGAGTAATGTCTAGAGACAAAAATGTATGCAAACAATTTCTTCTCAAAGGAGTCTAGAGGGAAATAAAAAGTTCCTGGAAAGTATTTTTCCATTCACTTATTCTCATTCTTCATTCCACCTGGGACTTACCCAGCTTGCCTGACTGCATATATAAACTCTGTATACAACTATTTTAGGTGGATCCTGAAATATCAACCCTTGAGTATACTGTCACCTAGTCCAGAAGAGCAATTCATTCATTCAAGAAAGTTTTACTAAACCCTAGTTTATCTGTTGTACTTTCTAAACTGTTAGCAACTTGCAGAAAAGGAGAGTTTCTTCACCTTTTATCTAGCTCTTTCACTATTTAGCAGAGATGAAAATGGGCATTAGAATTCTGAATATATAAATAAGCCAGCCTGTCGAATTCTGATGCTGGATTTTTCTGGTTCTCTTGACATAACGACCTGAGGAAACTTCACATGAAACAAGCTCACAAGAAATGAACACAGAAAAAAGAATATAAACTTCCTAAGATGTACTTTGAATGCTGAGGTTTGTGGATTGTAGGAAATATCAAGCTTTACTGTATGGCCATTTTTATTCTCCCAAATAAATGTACCTATCAATTTAAGATTATGGGATATTTTGCCCCCCCCCCAAAAGTGGATAAATCCACTTGACTTCAAAATACACAGGACCATCTCACTGATGGGAACAACAACAAAAAACTAACTAAAACAAGCAGCACAACACTAAAACAGTACAAAGCAAAACTCATATAATTTTTAAAATATTTTATTCTAAAGACGTGGGGTATAATTCAGGATTAGGTATACAGGTGGGCAAGGTACAGGTAGTTTGGGCCTCCACTTGGTCCCAACTTTATCTGGTTTGAGATCAGGTACCCTTATTGATGTTGTTTCTCCACCCCCACCCCAGCAGTATCTCACTACTGCCAATCCCTTTCTTATAGTATTATGGTAAATGTTCACGGTCTGCTTATGAAAATTCAAATAATTATAATCACACTTTACAACTTCCCGAAGTTAACAGCCTGGATAAATCAGTTTTTAATCCACATGAGATTGTGTGTAGACTTCTTAGTATGACACCTAGGTTTTCATTTCCCCAGTGGCTTATACTGTTTCTTTGAAGCCTACAGGGCTGCTTTCCATGTGTTTGTGAAACCTCCCTTGTTTAACCCCCAACACATATAACTGCACCTGAAGGGCATCTATCCCTAACTTTCCCCCTAGGTTCTGTCCAATATTATAATGGTTCCAACTCAACACTCCATCCATGAAGGAGCACTGTTTGCAACTGTAGGAGCACACGAAGCTCTTTCAGACTTTTCCTGTCAATCTCTCGGTTTACTTTCCGGAAATGACCTGGAAAATTTGGTGAAGACTAACCCATCTCTGAAGACTGTGATCATGAACCAGGCTCACGCTGAAAGCATTCCACACCTTGCCATGGTCCCCACCCTATCTACCCCTTCTATGCATATACCATGATATCTATCTTATTCTAGTGGCCTATAAGACTCTTAATCTCAAGGGCCATGTGTCACTACCCACTGTCACTGTTTCCTCACACAGTGACTTAGTAAACACTGAATTAGATAACTGACTGATAAACTAGGCTCAGTGTTGGAGACCACTGCCCTGCTTGAACCCTGCTGTAAAAAAAACTTGGCATATGTGCAAAGTAACAGCCAGCCAAGAATACTCATGATGGCAAAGCCAGATAGGCATATATGCTGAGGCAAGTTCTGAAGTACAGTGTCTTTTGTGTTAGACGAAGTAAGAAGTTATGCACTAACCACATCGTTTAGCAAGCAGCTACACTATGCCCTGTAAACAGTCACATTTTATTGCAAGAAGCTTTCTGAGACCATACCAAAAAGTTTCCTTTGTACTGCTTGTACTTCATCCTTAAATGCTTACTTAACTATGTCATTTTATACTATTAAAAGTCCGGTGGGTAAGAGACTCGGGGCCTTTGACCTGTGAGGCAAAGTGCCCCCTGGTTCCCCCACCTTCTAGTTCTAAAAGTGTTTTGTGAATTGTGTTATACCACGCTGTTCCTCTTTCAGGATCCTTTACCACCCTGCCTCGCAGGACACAGCAGCTAAGAAACTAAATGGACAAAAATAAAATAGAAAAAAAATCCCAGGTAAAATGGGAGGAAGGAAGGGGCTCTAAAATCAGGAGACAGAGGAAAGGTAAATGGAACACAGGAGATGAAAGTTGGAACTTGTCCAATGACAACCTCCCCAATTTAACTAAAAAAGCATATAAAAATATATTTGTTATTTTCTGTAAATACATTTGGAAGGTGGTTCCCAACCCAGTCCCACCCCCATTAACTCCTATATATGTTAATTTTTTTCTAAATAAAAAGGATGCTGCTGCCACCGCCCTTACCTATTGTTGCTAAACATAACAAGATTAGTGCTTAGACTAGGCACTATCATTCTAGTTGGAAATAAAGGCCCTTCCTGGGCCAGGGATCTTTAGATGATCTCACTAGGATGGAGGCAGGCAACTAAAAGTCAAGCAAAACAGGCATCTGTAATAGTCATAATCATGCGACCATGAATTAAGTGACTCTGCTCAGCACCTACAGGAGTCAGGCAGTGGAGAAAGGGAAGCTCACAAAACTTCCATGTCTGGGTCCTCATCAGAAACACTTGGTCTCAAACACAATAAAACGCCTTCATGTGTAGTCATTATCATTCTAGTATGAGGTACAGACAGAAAGTAATCAGTGGCAGGAGATGGAAGGGGCCTCCCTGTCCCTCAGGAGTCCCTGGCCAGGGAGGGTCCCTCCATGCTCTCTGAAGGTGGTGGGGCTCCAAAGATCTTGGCAAGGAGCCCTCGGTTGGAGCGGGCCTGGTCCTGAGCAGTAGCCAAGCGAGCCCGTTCACGATTCCCTGGCCGTGCTGCTTTCCGGGCCCTCAGCTCCTGCTCAGTAGGACGCTGGGTAAATGTCCAGGAGCCATCCGGGCGTGCAGGATCCCCATCAGCAGCAAGGAAGCATTGTCCCCGCTCCACACTTCGGAGATAGAAGTCAGTCTCACGCTTGGCCTGAGCAACCTCTGCTCTCAGACGCTGTCGGCGTACCTGGCGCTCAAAGGCAAGATGCTCACTTAGGTGGGACCAGGTGAAACGGTGCAAGTACTGCGGACAGTAAGATAAGACAAGATCAAGATAGGCCAGTTCAGGGAGAAAGAGAAGATGGGGGAGACGAGGCCAAAGAGGCGATGGGGATGCTTGGGCTGGTTGGAGGGAGGATGAGAGGTGTGGCAGACAGATGTCTCTCCTCACCTTGAGGTTCCATAAGTCATAACGAAAGGGGCTGCGCCTGCGGGCACCCATGGGTGTGTTGTGTAGACTAGCCGCCACGCGCTTGGCTATACGCTTATCACGGAACTCTACCCAGCCCTCGGTGTAGTCCTTGCTGTAGGACCGCTTTTTTCCTCCCGTAGCCGCCGCTGCCTTCTTCTTGCGTCTCACGAACCGGTCTGTATGCCAAAGACAGAGCTGCGGTCAAGGAAGCTGACACTGGACCCCCTCGAACGCACCTCCCATAGGCTGTATAGTTCTTCAAACCAGCCGGCTGGGATGCCACCTCAAAGTCCTTGCCTGGGAGGGAGCGAATTGTGAAATGCACTTTCCTTGGTCTAACTCAATGCTCTCCTCAAGTAGTAGCTTCTTCACCTGACCTGCCCTGAACACTATTTGAAACTTGCTCGCGTCCCCATCCCAATTAGTGCCTGTAAGAAAGTAGGAAGGGGAAAAGCGGCTGATCAAATACTGTTTCTTGCCCTGGACTGCGAAACCAAAGGGATGAGGAATGGTTTTGCAGAAAAGCCTCTGAGACGTTTACTTAGGTTTACTCATTTAACAAATCAGTAAACAGGTGCAGAGAGAGCCCAGGCAACTTGGTGAGACCTCATCTCTACAATAAATCAAAAATTAGCCAGTGTGGTAGCGCGCGCCTGTAGTTCCGGCTACTTGGAAGGCTGAGGCGAAAGGATCGCCGGAGCCCAGCAGGCTGACGCTTGTGTGGCCGTGAGCGTCCCACTGCACTCCAGCCAGGGAGACCGAGTGAGACTCCAACTTAAAAAAAAGGAAGGAAGGAAAGGAGAGAAAGAAAGGGAGGGAGGGAAAGCAAAAAAAGAAAGGCAGGCAGAGCTGGGATTAGAACGCAAATGGTAACAATCCTGGAACTCCAGCACCACCAGAACTTCGCGCTACCTACCCTCCACGTTCCCACCCGCCCCGTTTCCTCACAGACCGATTCGCCAGCCCAGACGCGGCGCCGCATCCTCCAGCCCCAAAAGGTAGCAGCTCGCGCCTCAGCCCGCGCACCTGAGGCGACCCGCCAGAGAGTGCCACTCTCCCCTTCACAGTCAAGTCCTGCGCACTCACCCTCGGCCTGGAAGAAAACGCGTCCGACCTCGCCGTAGGCACTGAGAAGGTTGCGGACGTGCAGGGGCCGGAAGCGCGGCGGTATGTGGCCCAGGTACACAATACCCGGCACCACCCGCTTCTTGCGACCGCAAGCCGCTTCTTCGGACTCCTCCGGCTCCTCCTGCGCCGCTAGTTTCTCGTCTGTACCTTCCAGCGGCTCCTGCTGCGGCTCTGCCTTCTCCGATTTCTCTACCTCCATGTTGGCTGATGCGTGAAGCACGACGGCCGTAAAGCGCCGCGTCGGATGACGCGCATGGAGTGCGACGCCCTGCGACGAGGGACAGAGCAGAGGCAGTGATGACAGAAGAGTGGGCGTTGCCGGCGGGTCCGGGAGAAGGCGGAGGGGAGAGGGCGGAAGTGGGGTGTCAGGTCAGAAGCGAGAGTCGGAGCGTGGGAGCTGGCTGAAAGATCCGGGATAACCAGACATTCCTCCTTAGTTGGCGAGGCGACCGGAAGAACCCAATCCCCTAACTATAACCCACCGAGTAGAACTCCTTGTTGACACGCTAAAGGGCGAGTTGATACCGGCTCTTTCGGGAAATTTGCAGAATAATTAGAATGGAGTTTCTGTGTATTCTAGCGATCAAAATAGCACTGTGCTCCGGAAACCTGGGTGCGACTTCGGCTGAGGGAAGGCTCACCTTTTAAAGTTTATAAATTTCATTTTTAAAATGTAATTGTTAGGGTTTTGAAGTCTTATTTTTGAAAATTCAACATAGAGTTTAAAATATTTTAAACTTAAAGTTTTGGAAATTTAACTTTGGAAATTTAATTTTTGAAATTAATATTTAGTATTTGATTTTGTAAATGCCTAAAAAATTTAGATGTGAGACAACTATTTAACTTGTTTGACGGTTATCCATATGCATGTTTATATTGCGAATACATCATATGCACACATGATCCCAATTCAGGCGACCCCGGGCGGCGCACTAAGTTCTGCTCTTCCTGGACCTATCCTCGCAGATTTCCCCTCGAATCACAAAATCCCTCTAGGCCCTACGCAACCGCAGGACAGGTCAGGCCCCGGCGGTCCCGCTGTCTCCAGGCTACACCAAGCTTTAGGCTACTCGCCTCAGGCCGGCGCTCGGAATTCGCCCTGTTGTGGTCACCTAAGGATGTGTCCACCAGAGGGCGCCATCTGCGTCCTAGAAGGACACGCAGACAAATAATCCAATTGGCTTTCTGGAAGGAGCCCGAGACGAGTTTGAGGACTATCAATATAAATCCGCCCTTGCTACTGCCTGACAGAATTCCCATCCGACTTCAACCAGAGCGCAGAGTAGCTAGGAAACTGGAAGCAAGAGTCAGCTGTGTCCACAGTTAAAATCAGAGATGGATAGTTTTTGCCAGGCTCCAAGTATGTAGGTATTTCTAAAGTAACAGTGCACCGCTCTTTTTCATGCAGTATCTAAAAGTCTAATAACTTCTCTGTTTATGATCCTGCTTCATGAACTTTATTGAAGAGAACTGTCAGGTGCCCTCTGCCTTTTTTTTTAGGTGGAGGAGGATGAGATTTGAGGAATAGATTCTGTCTCGTTTTTTAAATTCTTAAGTCTGACATCTTCAGAACTCAGTGACAGTAAATGAAAACCCATCAGAGGTTTCTTCAATAAATCGGGATTAAAGGGAGGGGCATGTAAATGGTAAGTGATGGAAGAGTGTCGGTTGTGCCAGTGTGATGGATAAATGGTCGTTCTTTATGTTAATTTCTCTTTGTGTATATCTGCATTTGTCATTAAAAATGTTTATTCACACAAAACCAACATAACAGAGGGTCCTGGAGGACCTTAGAGCCACTAAAAAAAATTAACATAAAAGCTTTGGGGCTTGGGCCAGGGTGTTCTTCCCATTCCCCACCCTCCTCATGATCATTTCTCAACTAGGTGAAGAGATCCTCACTAGAGACCCGGTCTTTCTCCATTGTCCCATTTGACTGCCCGTGCAGAGTAGCTAGGAGACTGGAAGCAGGAGGCAGCTGTCCTTGAAGCAACAAGGACAACCAACTGGGACAGTGGAGAAAGGCCTGATCTCTGGGGAGGCAGAGTTGGCAGTTTTCTTTCTGTGGGTACTTGTGGATCGTAGATGTTTTGCTTTTTTAGTCTTACAAATTCATGCATAAGCTCAAATGACAATTTATTGCTCACTGTGCTCAAGTTTTCTTATCAAGCGCTGAGCTTCCAGGCCCATAGGGGATCCTTTCAAAAGGGTAACCCCTTCAAGCCGGATTCCAACCAGCGACTTAAGGATGACCATGATCAAACCTCTACAGTCCTCTGCTCTACCAACTGAACTATCAAAGGACCTGTGTGTTATACTTCAGTATATTTTAATATTTACCCTATGGTTTTGTTTTGACTATATTTCTGTTCATTGCATAAGCATAGGTAAACATGAGGAGGTTTTCCAGAGTATCAGAAATGTTCTAAAACTAATGGGTAGTGATCATACAAGTGCAAGAAAAAAATTACTCAAACATTTAAGATTTGTGCTTTTTACTGTATAAGTGTTTCACGTAGGTCTTAAAAAACATAAAACTACCAACATTCCATGTCCTACTTGCTTAGGTATAATACAGTAGGACTATTACCCTTATTGCACTTGCTGTTCGGTTGTCTTGTCCACTTAGTGCCTCCTCTCTATTAAAAGTGGATAATGTAGGGCTCGGTGGCTCAGCCTGTAATCCCACGCCTTTGGGAGGCTGAGGTGAGTGGATTGCCTGAGCCCGCGGGTTCGAGACCCACCTGGGCAGCGAGACCTCAATCTTTACAATAAATAAAAAATCAGCTGGACGTGGTAGCGCATGCCTGGATCGCTGGAGCTCAGCAGGCGAGGCTGCGGTGGCCGGGAGTGGCCACTGCGCTCCAGTCTGGGCGACCGAGTGAGACTCCAACTAAAAAAAAAAAAAAAGTGGATAATAACGATAAGATTATCCTAAACATGGACAACTGGTTGAAGAGGAGGGACCTACCACCTTGAAACGGAGTTACTACCCAAACATTGCGGTTCTCCTTTTTTAAAGACAAGGAAAATTACAAAAAATGCACTAAACACAAAACATGAGAGGAGTTTTGTGTATATATATGTTTAGAAATTGAGAGGCTCACACTGCAAAATTATAGTGGGACAAATAAATGAAACACACCCCCCCCCGTTTAAAAAAGAAATGTAATATTCCATTTAACAGGTGTCAACTTAAATAACAAAGAGAGGCCCTCTAACAGAAGATGATGTTTATTTGGGAATAGAGCATTGTAATGAAAGTGTACGTGCCATAGTAAACTGTGTGTATCCAGGGAGGTAAAGTTAGACAATGGTTTTTTAAAGAAAAAAAATGAGAAGAATTACACAGTTGTTTTGATATTATTATTCTTTGCTACAAAGATCAATAACAAATATGTGACAGTTCAAGGTTGGACAGGTGTTCTTGTAGAAGTATTTTTTGTGTAAAGTTGTAATGGCTTTTATGCAAGGCTGTGGTTTTTGCAGTCTTTTGTGATCATTTTTAAAATCAAGCATTCACATGAGAACCTTCTCTCCAGGGTCTTTTCCTGTCATATTTGCAGAAGTATTTTGTTTATTTGATCTCTCTCTGTGTGTCTGTGTGTGTGTGTGTGTGTGTGTGTGTGTGTGTGTGTGTTAACACTAGACTCCATTTTTATTTCCACAACTTTCACACAGGTATGCTGCCATGCTTTGCTAACAAGTGCCTATCGTGGCATTCAGTTTCTTGGCATCTAAGACAGAGTGAACACCGATTAAAAAAACAGGAATCCATCTGGAGAGACTTTTCTTTTTTGTAGAATTTGCAAACTATGAAATGAATATATTATGAAATTATATGGAAAAATCAAAAAATTTATGGAAAAGAGTTCTGGTAAATTTATCTATGAAAGATCATTAATAAAATTAAATGAAGTAAATTTTCATTTAAAAGATTTTGTCCAATAATTCCCTTGAGAAATATCTGCCACACATAACTAATATTTAATTCAGTTATTCAGTTCATTTCCATGATAAACCAACAATATATGGTCTGGTAAATTTATTTCCAGTAATGTAACCTAATCGGGGGGAAATGTGAGAAACTAGAAAAGAGAAATGGGCAGTTTCTGGGTGAGACAGCCTCTCTCACAAATGAAGTCTACCAACAGAGCTTTGGACACCAGATGTCCAGGATCTCAGTTCATGTAGTCTCCCAAATCAAAGGTTCACCAATTTTCACAGCAATGTGGTCTGAAAAAAGGCTCAACATTTTCTCATCAATTAGTGCTAGGCTAAAAGTGCTCATGAAATCCCAGAGCCTCGTTTCCCAGCCACAAGGTATTACACAGTTTATTTTAATCTGGAAAAATTACAATAGCTCATTTAGTTTCTTTGCTTATAAAGTAATCTTAACATAGGACTCTCACTTCAGGGCTGTTAAAGATGGGATTGCATGTGCCAGAATGCTCTTTCCCCAATAACTCCCAAGATTTGCCTCCTAGGGATACAAAGGCAGGTAATCTGAACCTCTTCACACTAAATTTATGTATCATTTTTTGTGAAGACGTCCTTCTTCCTCCCCTTTCAGAATCTGACGTCAGAACTACCCTTCTATTCCCTCTTGTTTCAGACACAAGTGTAAAACCAACTTATGAGTAGACTTAACTCTCTGAAATCATGCCTGGAAATTTGCCAACATCCCTTCATCACAATCCCACCCTGTAACTTCTCCATTGTCTTAGCTCCTTCTTGACTTGCTAATTGAGTCCTAGATGATCCTAACTCAAGCCTTGCGCTCTTGTAACACTTACAGATCCCTAGCTGCTGTCTCCATACAACACCCATGGTCAGCAATAAGTAGCCAGACGGGTCATCGTCCTTACTCCCTAATGGCAGTTAAGATTACCACTACAGACGGGAATGAGACAGGAGACACCCAGAGAAAGGGGAGGCAGGGGAGGCAGACAAGCGCGGGGGCGGGCGAGCGGGTTCTTTGGTTACAACGTAGCAAACTCTAGCAGGCCTCTCAAGCTCAGCATTGGTAAATAAGCTCCCTGCCAGCCTCTCCAGCTCAAGCTTAAGTACTCACTGCTGGGATCAAAAAGTAACCAATCAACTCACCATCAGTCTCCTACCTCCTGCCAATTGGTCCTTAATACTAACCAATCAGAACAGCAAAGCTCAAAGCTTGTGCTAGCCAGTCAACTCACTCTTAGGGCTATATAAGCACCAGGTTTTCAGCCTCAGATGGGCAATTCCTTCAGGTCCTTTTCTCCTGTGGGAGCTTTTCTGTCCCTTCAATGGATCTTGCTTTCTCAAAACAATAACAACAAAACTTGCAGCCCTGATATCCCAATTAAATAAAAAGAGCCCAGAGCTCTGGAGTCAAAGTTGGCTCCCAGCCCAATCCCGTCCTGCAGTCACCTTGCCTCCATTCTCTGTTCTACATAACAGATACTGCCGTGTCCGTCGCCAAGGACTTCCTGGCAGGTGGAGTGGCCGCAGCCACCTCCAAGACTGGTAGCACCCATCCAGTGGGTCAAGCTGCTGCAGCAGGTGCAGCATGCCAGCAAGCAAATCACTGCAGATAAGCAATACAAGGGCACTATATGCTGCATGGTCTGTATCCCTGAGGAGCAGGGAGTCACGTCCTTCTGGCACGATAACCTGACTAATGTAGTCAGATACATCCCCACCCAGGCTCTCAACTTTGCCTTCAGAAATAAATACAAGCAGATCTTCCTGGGTGGTGTGGACAAGAGGACCCAGTTTTGGCGCTGCTTTGCAGGGAATCTGGCATCAGGCAGTGCCGCTGGGGCTACATCCTTGTGTTTTGTGTACTCTCTTGATTTTGCCCATACATGTCTAGCAGCTGATGTGGGTAAAGGCGGAGCTGAAAGGGAATCCAGAGGCCTCGGTGACTGCCTGGTTAAAGTCTATAAATCTGATGGGATTGAGGGCCTGTACCAAGGCGTTAACGTGTCTGTGCAGGGTATTATCATCTACGGAGCTGCCTACTTCGGTATCTCTGATACTGCTAAAGGAATGCTTCCAGATCCTAAGAATACTCACATCATCATCTGCTGGATGATCACACAGTCTATCACTGCCATTGCTGGGTTGACTTCCTATCCATTTGCCACTGTCTGCCGCTGGATGGTGATGCAGTCAGGGCGCAAAGGAACTGATATGTACACAGGCACACTTGACTGCCGGAGGAAGATTGCTTGTGACCAAAGAGGCAAAGCTTTTTTCAAAGGTGCATGGTCCAACGTTCTCAGAGGCATGGGTGGTGCTTTTGTGCTAGTCTTGTACGATGAAATCAAGAAGTACACATAGGTTATTTCCCAGTTTTCCCCTGTGAACTGATATGTTGTATTATGTAACATAGCTTGAGCATTCTTGACAGACCCGTGATTGTTTATCAATAGCATCTATTTACTCAGTGGCTCAGCCTGTAATACCACGCCTTTGGGAGGCTGAGGTGAAGTGGATTGCCTGAGCCCACGGGTTCAATACCCGCCTGGGCAACTTGGCGAGACTTCATCTCTACAATAAATCCAAAAATCAGCCGGGCGTGGTAGCGCATGCCTGTAATTCCCGCTACTTGGAAGGCTGAGGCAGAAGGATCGCCGGAGTCCAGTAGGTCGAAGCTGCGGTGGCCAGGGGTGGCCACTGCACTCCAGTCTGGGCGACAGAGTGAGACTCCAACTCAAAAAAAAAAAAAAAAAAGGAAGCAATAATATTCATTTGACCAGTTTTCTCTTAAAGCCATTTCCATGATGATGATGATGATAGGACTTAATTATATTTTTTATTTCAGTCACTCCTGATAAATAACAAATTTGAAGACATAAAAAGATTTTTAAAAAATAAAAAGAAACAGACTATTGGCAAATGTAACAACAAAGATGGAACTCATATGCATTATGCTGAATTTAAAAGGCTACATACTGTATTATTCCATTCGTATGACATTCTTGCAAGGGCAAAACCATAAGGACTGAACACATCAATAGTTGCCAGGGTAGAATACAGGGGAAGGAATTAACCATAAAAGAAATATGGAAAAATCTGGGGAGGGTAATGTAATTATTCTATATCTTGATTGTGGTGGTTACATGACAATACATTTGTCAAAATTTGCTACACTAAAAAGAATGTATACTAAAAATGATGACTTTACTATGCGTGAATTGTGCTTTAATCTAACAAATGAGATAAGTAACTTTCAAAAATTAAGTTAGAAGAAAAGTTAAAGTGTAGATTAGAACTTAATTTTAAAAACCAATGTAATCACCTAGTTATCAGACTGGGA